CGCATGGACAGGGCTATGGGCCAAAGATCAGTGAGGGAGGTGGAGAGAGACAGGAGATGGCAAGGTTGGGACACCTGATCTCACAATGTCCCACAGAACACAAATGGGACAACAGAGCTAGCTTCATAGGAAATGGGTAGTGGTCAGTTCAAGGGTGAGGGGCTTCCAGGAACCTGCAATGTCCCCACAGGTCCCAACCCAGGGTGGCAGGCCACTGGACACTGGTGGTGGGCTTCCCGTGCTGTTAGTGTTGAGTGGAGATGAGGTCTCCCTGTCCTGTCCTCCTGCCCAGACTGAAACAGAGACTACTAAGAGTCACCTGGCTGACTCTTGATTATCTCTTAATTTTTCCTGCAATGTTTGTACCACGTGCTGAGTGAGCCACTCATGGAGACTGGTGAGAAAACCACCTCACTAAAACTAATTTTAAGTGTGACAGTCAAGACTAAAGTCGGAGGTGAGAGCCCCGCCCGTGACAAGCCCTGCTTCAGCAACAGTTCCCACTGACCAGCTAGAGGGTTCTGGCTGGAGTCCACAGAGGGGAGGAGTCTTTTCTGAAATCTAATCCCATTAAGGGGAGGGGGTGCTAAAGTAGAAATTATTTTTTCCAAACATAACAAGTCTTTCCTGTGTTCTATCCAGTCTCTAAGGAGCCTTGTCATCAATTCAACAAGCACAGCCAGAGGGTACGCTTCCTTCCAGAAAATTCCCTGAGGCTGTAAGACTCATATTCAAATCTGTTGGACAACTATAAATTCCAAAGATGCTCTCAACCCAAAGGAAGGCAGATTCGGTACCCAGGATGAGGGTGAGATGGGCAAACACGGGCCTTGGTCCCCACAGCAGCAACTCGTGATTCGCATCACGCATCAGACCCTAAATCACCAACGCACGAAAGAGGAGCATGGATGTCTGCTGGGTCAAGGGAGACAAACTCCAGCAGGTTGATGTGAAAACCAACAGCTTTAACTTAATGTGAGGGCAAAGGCCAGCTGCTAAAAGCGCTACACGGTTTCCACCATTGTGAGCTACTGGTGTAACTGTGACTAGGTTTTTACTGTCACTGGAGAAGCCACCAAGAAGGCAATGAGACTGTTTTCAAGGACATCCAAATGCCTACATCATGCACTCCACCGTGAAAACATGGCAGTCCTTTAATCTTATGGGGGGAAAAAAAAATCCACCCACACATTAGGGCTTCCCTGCCTGTGGAGTATGTTCAAGCAGCAGATACAAAGGTGGCTAGACTTGTGCACAGACCCAAGGTCAGGCCCTGTGCAGTCCCAACTGCCCAGAAAACGCTCAAGCTGGAGACAGTGCCCTCCAGTCCCAGGGACTCCTGAGGCATGGGTGATAACGAAGCTGTAGCAGAAGAAGCCTGCTTTCGCAGCATGCGAGCTGGCGTTCAGCTGCATGGGCAGGGTGAGGGTTAAAGGAGAAGCCAAGCGAAGTCACTTCCTCACGTGATAGCCAAAGGACACACTGCCCAACACTTCACCTTTGAGCCGCACTGATTTTCAACAGCTTACGAAGAGCAGAGAAGGGCACTCGCCTGGGGCAAGAGGTGATTAGCCATTTACTCACAGTATTTGTGCAAGGCCAAATTTTCTACAGCACTCACCCCAGGGCACATGGTACAAACCACAGCGGACAGTCCAGAACTGGACCATGAGACGCAGCCACAGAGAAGACTGCCGCCCCACCTCACCCTGCACAGAGCCCTTTAAAACAGCATTTCAGCACTTCTTAAAATTCTCCATTTCCATCGTATCAGGAGGCTACAGGAACAGAGGGTGGTGAACACCAAGCCCTGCTTCACCAACCTTCCACTACCCCATGACCAACACCTGCCCAGGGCTCATGTCTCCTGCAGTGTGCTCTGCCACCATGACCAGAGCGCACAGAGGCTTGGTGCAGGGCTATACTGCATGGCCTAGAAATCCACCAGGCAGGAGCCTGCTGCAAAAACAAGGATCCCTCGGGACTGCCACACTAGCAGTTAATCGTGAAGAAAATGCTAAACTAGACATAAGGACCAATCCCAAGTCCCCTCCCTGATGCGATAAGCGTGTGGTCCACCCTTCAATGGACGAGCAAAGGCAAGAGCCTTGGGAGCGCACTAACAAGTTAAAGAAGTCAGTCACCAAAGGACCATGCTGTGTGACCCTGTGTATAGGAAATGACCTGAAAGGTCAAAGGCAGTTGTCAGAGGCTGGGGGAGGGGGTACTGGGAGTGACTGCTCACAGGTGGCTGGGCTTTTTTTTGGGTGGTGCAGATGATCAGAAGTTAACTAATGGTAATGGCTGCACAGCTCTGACTGCCAGCATCACTGACTAGGATGCCTTCTGGGGAATACCACCTCCTACACCACAACACACCGTCTTTTTTTTTTTTTTTTTTCCCCCTTGAGACAGGGTCTCCCTGTGTAGCCCAGGCTGGCCTTGAATTGGCGATCCTCGCCTCAGCCTCTCAAGTGCTGTGATTACAGTACTGGGGATTGAAGTCAGGGTCCCCAGCTCGTGGGCCAGGCGCTCCACCATGCCTGCAGCCCAACTCCCTGGAGCATTCCCACCTAAGGGACAGTGAGAAGACTGTACTTTCAGGAATGATCTGTGTAGTTTATCAAGGACAGTAAACCGGAAGCAATTAGTCGACACCCCCATACTGTCCCCCATCAATTCACTATTACAAATATGCGCCTTTCTGAATGTAAACTATCTAATGCCCTCCACATTTTTAAACTTCTAAAAATCCTCAGATCACAGTGACCATCTGGAGGAATAGCTGCACACGAATACTGCAGAAAATACAGTTCAAAGATTCTAAAAGCAAACCACAGCTTCATCTCGGAAAGAAAAACACCAGGTCCAGAAGCTCAGAGAGTTCAAGTCAAACGCAGCAGCTTATAGCAGGGACTCTGAAGGACAGCCCCAGACCCAGCAACAAAGGGTAGACCAATGTCAGGCCTTCACTTCAGAGCTGCGAAGGGCCAGGAACTCCAGCAACTGTGACTGAAATCAATTCAGCAGTCCCATGGAGGATTCAAGAAAAAGTAGAAAGGGCAGCCCTTTTGAAACTGACACACGAGGCTGGTCACTCAGTACATGAGCCTCATAAGTAGGTGTCAAGTAGATTCTCCAGCTTCCCAAAGATGGACCAAAACCAGCGCAGGTGGCCATTCAAATATCAGTGTAGATAACACAAACACAAGCATCAAGACACAAACATTCGATCTGTATGACGCACAGCTCTATAAGCACATCGTAAAAGCCAGTGTGACCAGAGGAGGAGGAGGAGGCATTCAGGAACACGTGCTCAGGCTTTGCACGTTCACCTACGGAGTCCCCCAACAGGCCAGGGTAACTGGATGGGGTCATGTCCAACAGGCCAAGGTCACACAGCTGGTCAACTCAGTGACCAGAGCCTGGGAGACTTCATGTCATCACAGGGATTACTGCTGGACGGGAGGCTTTCTTAGAGGAGACCCTGGGGTAGGGAGGCTGGGGATGTAGCTCAGTGGTAGAGCACAGGTCCATTCCCCCGCTCCAGTATTTGCTCTACACTGAAATCGCTGCCTTACTGAAACATACCCATCACCACCTTCTGCAGAAAGCCACACATCTGGACCACTGTGAGTGTCCCTTACAGAGCAAGTACGGCTGCAGTGGCAGGGACGTGATCCCCACACAGCATTCAGGACACAACCAATAAACAGCACACCTGAGCTGACCACCGCGACTGAGAGTCCACGTCCACGGACATGATAATTTGCCAGCATCTCAGAGTTGACAGAGCTCACTACCAGCAACTCCGGTTTTAGGGCCTGCGCCGTTTTGTAGCTGGGACGTTCTCTGCCCAGCACGACAGAGCATCTAGAGTGGGAAATGAGCTCACAAATGCAAATGTCTGAGATAAATGCCACCAAAAAGATAAGAAAACAAAACAAAAAACCCAACCTGTGTACCACAACCACTTCTTAGAGGCCGACACTAAAAAGAAAAAGCCACAACCCAGGGTTCAAAGAGACCTTAAAAAAAAAACACTAACCAAACAGAACAGTCTTCTCCGCCACTCCATAAAGGTGAAGTCGAATGCAAGCCCGAACCTCAAAGAGCTCAAAGACACTGCACAGAGGCGTGGCAGATCCTCCTGCAGCCTCCTACTTTCCCAAGAAACCCAGTGCACAGCACACTCAGGCAGAGAAACCTTCTCCCTTGCAGCTAAACCTTGGGACATGTGAGTCCAATTGCTTTGTGATTGCATAGTTTTGAAACACGTGGCAAAGTTCACATTTCTGAGTGGATGAGCACGACAGCCATCCTGCTCGTTGTGGAGACAGGACTGACTGTAAGCTATCCTAACACTCCTTAAGACCCCATCCCCACTCGGTGGGCCTGGGTTCATCTGGGGACGGTACCAAGAGTAACTTGTGCAGGCAGCTGAGGCTCGGAAGCCTGACTCTTACACACACACACACACACACCCCCACCAGAATGCACACAAACACTCGCGTACGCAACAGGCGTACACACCTCCGCGCGCACTCTACTCCTAGCCGGTACGGGTGCGCGCGCCCGCGGGCCCGCAGACACCTGTGCAGGGAGGGCCGGCGGCAGGGGCAGCCTCGGTCCGGGCCCCAGAGCCCTCCGAGCTCCATCTCTGTCGGCCGGGCCGCAGGCCCGACGCCTTCCCTTTCTAGTAATAAACACCAGATTTAGCGAAACCACGGCGACACAACGTGTAACTGCTGTCACCCAAGGGCCCGATTGGGAGGACAAAGGCCTTATCGCCTTTGCAGTGGAGGATGTGATCAGGACACACAGGAGCTCTGACCGCGGACCCCTCTGCCCCGCCCGGCCCAGGCAGCCGGCCCCTCGGGGTGCAGGTGGGGTGTGGGGTGGGGGACACACACACGACTGGGACGCAGGCCCCAGGGCGCGGGATGGCGCTGGGGGGGGGAGGCGGGGGGGGGAGACACCTCGCGCGGGGGCGCGCTCACCTTGTGGCAGGCCGGGCAGGTGGGCAGCGCGCCGCCGGGCCCGGGCGCGCTCTTGCCCCCGGGACCCCCGCCGCTGCCGCCGCCGCCGCCGCCGCCGCTCAGGCTGCTCTGGATCTGCGTGAGCTCCTGGCGCAACACCTGCTTCTGGTGGAAGCTGAAGGCCGGGTGGTTGGAGGCCATGGTGAAGAGCAGCAGGAACTCATCGCCCGTGCGGCCCTCGTTGAGCTGCAGCCCGTAGTTGTGGATGATGGAGTCGATGTGCGTGAGCGTGCGGTAGAGCACGCCCGCCGCCTCGCGCTGCTCCGAGCCCAGCAGCGCCAGCGACACCAGCAGCTTGCTGCGCACCACCTCGTCCGTCAGGTTGGTGAGGCTGCCCAGGTCGGCCGGGTTGTTGGCCTTGATCTCCGAGTCGCGCAGCGAGTGGTAGTCCTTGCGCGCCAGGTCCTCGAGGCACGAGCCGAGGAAGCGCAGCTCGAGCGGGATGCACAGGTCCAGCAGGCCGCACAGGAACTCCACGCGCTGCGGCGACGGCAGCTCCGAGAACCAGCGGTACACGCCGTCCCTCTGCAGCGGGCAGCGCTTCTCCACCATGCTGCCGCCCGCGCCGCGCCCCGACCCGGGCCCGGGGGCCGCGCGGGGGCGGCCGGGGGCGCGGGGGGCCGCGGCCGGGGCGCGCCCGGGCCCGGGCCGGGGCCGAGGCCCGGCGAGGCCGGGCGGGAGCCGCGGGGCGGGCGGGGCGGGGGCGCGGGCGCGGGCGCGGGCCGGGAGAGCCCCCGCCAGGGGCCGGCGGACGGGCGCGCGAGGGCCGGGGGGACCCGGGGCGGCCGGGGCCGGGGCGGCCGGGGGCGGCGGCGAGCGGTCTCGGGCCCCCCGCTCACGGGGAGGCTCCCTGCCCGCGCCCGTCCCAGCGGCGGCCGGTGCGCGGCGGCGGCGGCGGCTGCTCCTCGTCGTCGTCGTCGTCGTCGTCGCCCGGGAGGCGGCCGCCCCCATCTCCCCCGCGCCGCAGGGTCTGTCACTGCGGGCCGCCCCCGACGGAGCCGCCCCGGCCATGCCGCCGCCCGCGCCTGCGCCCAGGCCGGCCGTTACCCGGGCCGCGCGGCGTCGCCGCTACGGAGCGGCTGGGCGCAGCGCCCGAACGGGCCTCTCGGGCGCGGCGGAGGATCCGGCCGGACGCGCCGCCGCTCGAGCTGCCCGCGCGGACGAATCGGGCCGAGCGCGGCCGCCGGGCGGTCCAGAGCCGAAGGAGAGCGCGCTCGCGCGCACGGGCGGCCGCGGCCAGCACAAGTGGGCGGGGTGGCCGCCTCTCGCGACAGCCCGGGCCGGCCGGGCCCGCCCCCCGCGCTGATTGGCCTGACCGTCCGTTCTCGGCGCAGGATTGTTCCGACCCTGCCATCCGATTCGCCCGCGCCTCGGCCCCGCCTCCACGGGGGATGTCGATCACGCCGGGGCCGCCCCCTCCCGCCCCCTGGCGGCCGGCGCGACCCGATTGGTCGGAGGAGGTCGGCGAGGCGGAAAACCCGGGGCGGATTTCTGGGCGCTTTTGTTCCCGCAGGTTTGAGCAGAGCCTTGGTTTTTTTTTTTTTCGGGGGAAGGACCGGCCTTCGGCCTTCCTGCTTCACTCCAGAGCGTTATCCGAGAGAGGTGATGCCCGTCTTGGAAAAGCTATTGTGGCGAGGCTCGAGAGATAGGGGTTCCAACCCCGGATATGACCCTGCTGAGCTGTGTGACCTTGGGCAAGTCACTTGGCCTCTCTGAACCCTGGGCGCCTCTCCTAAAAAATGAGGGTATCAGTAACCACCTTGGGGGGCTTGTGAGAAGATGGTGAGCTCACAGAGGGCCGGGACCTGCATTTTTGAGGCGGCTGGCCTGGCTTGGTAAGGGGGTGGGTGATGGGAGGAGCAAGCCTTCCCCCAAAACCTGGGCCAGACGACTGTGTCAGACCGCCCTCTGTCAGCCGCACCTCCTCGCTCTTGGAACCGAGAAAATGCAAACACACGGGCCAGGGTTCAGGGAGAACCTGGCGGAAGCACAGGAGGCCCGCCACCGCCCCTGGTATTTGCACTGGCACCGGACGGCAGGCTGGGGGAGGGGGGACTGGGGCGCCCAGCCACCTCTCAAGGCTACCGCTGCAGGACCTGCCGCTCTCAAGTAGGGAAACCGAGGCACAGGTCAAGATGGCCCTTCTACCACCACCACCACCACCTGTTTCTCTGGAAGGCAGCCTCTGATGTCCTGAGGGCCTAGGCCTGGCTGTCCGTCCGTTCGTGCCCCCAGGTGTGCAGGACCTAAGACCTGGGCGCCCGAGCCAAGCCCCGCCCTCCCTACAGAACCTACAGCCCAGCTCTGGGCAGTGCACTCTGGGCAGTGCACCCTGGGGATTCGTTGAGTGAATGAGTGAACAGACTCCTCTGGGGTGTGGTCCAAGGTGCTGAAACTGCCCAGAAGAACCTTCTCTATTCCTGGGCCCGGAGTCTTGAACAGGCATCGCTACCCCCTCTCCCCACTCGTCTGGGTGCATTTCTGGGGAATCGGGAGAGGCAGGAATCAGGGTGACAGTCAGTGTAGCCCGCTGGGTCCCGTTCCCCCACACACACCTGACTTCCCACGTGTTCTGTCAGTAACTGAATTCATCCTTGTTGGCTTGGATCTCACTCTTCCCGGTGCTTCCCCAATGTGAGCTCTTAGGAACCAAAGCAGGTTGACAGGACGGTCAGCGCCTCTGCTTCCTGTTGCTAAAGGAACTTCCCCAGAATCCCCAGACACCAGGACTCCAGCCTCAGCTCTGGCCCACTGTGACCCGGGCCACTCACTCAACCCCTGTGAGCCTCAGTTTCCTCATCTGTAAAAGGAGCCAGAAACCCGGCCCGCCGGGTGGTAGCGCTGGTCAGAGCTGACCACCGGAAGCCCTTTCTTGCTGGGACAGCCGAGGCCCGAGCCGCACAAGTTGTTGGGTCAAGGTCCCCCCAAGGTGGCTCCTGGCCACCTTCTTTCTACTTTGTGCTGTGCGGTTCGCTGGATTGAATAGTGCTCCACAAAATCCATGTCCAACTGGAGCCCGAATATGGCCTTATTTGGAAATAGGGTGTTTGCAGATATAATTAAGGAGATAAGAATTAAGGTCATACTAGATGAGGACAGACCCTCCTGTCCACCTTCGGAGGGAGCACAGCCTGCCCACCCTGTGGTTTTGGACTCATGGCCTCCAGAGTGGTTGTTTCCTAGGGTAACCACAGGAAACCAATGCAGTGTCATTTCCCCCGAGCTTCAGTGTGGCTCTACTTAATCCAGTTCACACCGGTGGTCTGGCCCCTACCCTACAGGACTACATACACCTCAGCCCGGGTTTGGGGAGCCTCAAAGATAAGTGAGGCCCAGCCCCACAACCCCAACTTCAAGGGACTGACGCCAAGCCTCCCGCACTCTGAGACTGTCCCTGTCGCTGCTCCTTCCTCCAGTGCAGGCTGTGGATGTCTGAGCTGAGTCTGCACGCTCCCTGCCACCCAGGGCCCTTCCCTGACGGAGCCTGGCCTCTTGTGACTGCATTCAGACCCCTGGCCGCCCTTCCTCCCGCCAAGGCGCCTGGGCCCTGCCAGAATTGTGGAGGGCTTGGGGATCCCCGGGGGTGGCTGGGATGGGCAAGGGTCCCAGGAGTCCGCTAGGTCCGAAGGGCGGCCATGCCTCCAAGTGATGGGCGGATCAGACAGGGAGACCATCCATCTGACGTTGAGTGGGGAGCTCCAGTGGTCATGCCGAGCTGGCTTCCTCAGGGCATGAGACTGGGGAAGGGAGGAGCTGCCCCTTCCAAACGGCTGAATGGGGCACGAATTATTTTTGAGAGGGAGGAACTTGGAGTTCCCATGAACGAGTGTAGGATGCAGGCGTGATGCTCCCTGCGTTTGTTTCTTGTGCCTGACTGGGTGACTCTGCCTCACGTGGCTGCAGTAGGTGGGGGCCAGGTAGGACCGTCCCCAGCGCACTGCCTTCCCTCCGGGCCAGCGGAGGAGGAATTGTGGAGGCCCAGCAGGGACTAAGCCCAGGCAGGAAGGCAGGCTTGAGATGGGGACTCAGAGTAGGATGAGGTTCTAGGGCTGGAAAGCGCACAGAAGCTTGGAGAAGTCACTGTTGCTGTCCCCTGGGATGCTGCTCCGGCCTGTGGCTCTGCATGGGCCTCCTCTTTCCCTTGGCCCAAGCCCTGCTTCCCTGGGGTTGAGAAGGTTCTGGAACCCAACTCCTAGAACAAGGGGCCTTCAGGCGAGCAGGCCTCTAAGGTTCTGGTGCTGGGCCGTGGCTCCTGAGCGCCTCCTGTGATTGCCACCACCCTGAGTGACCAGTCCTGATGGCCTTCATCACCAGCGGTCCAGGCATGGGCCAGGCCGGGTGATTCCTTCTCCTTGGAACTGGAGCCTGACCTAAGTCAGGCGCCCACAGACCGTGCCTCTCGGGGGAGGAATCACAGCGAGGAAGAAGTTTATTTGCTGTTTCTGCAAACCAGAGACTCCAAAGGTGTCTGTGCATGCCAGCTTCTGCCGGCCATGGCTGCTTGTGACTGGCGGCTAAAGTGGACGATTATCCCTAAGTGATGCCTCGCCCTGGCAGAGCACGGTGACTCACCGGGGTGTCTGTGCTGGGCTGGATGCTGACAGTCCCCAGTGGACATTACCGGGTCCTTATTTAAAATGGACTGTCCTAACCGACCTCTGGTGAAGAGCCAGGCTCCCTGTGGTCCCACCTTAGAATATGAATTTTTTGCCAGGAACCCGGCGGTCCTGACTCATGTTCCTTGGCACCTAGGGGGCGTCTCCAGATTAACGGCCACCACAAAAATGACCAGATTTTAAGTACGGACCACCACGTGTCTAGCACTCGGCAAAGACTCTCCCTGTTTTACAGATGGGGAAACTGAGGCTTGGTAGTCACTGAGCAGAGGTTACACGGCCCATGGGGCCTCAGTTCTTACCATGGCATTCCACAGTCTTATTTCTGTTATATGTTTTTTCATTCCTTGCCTTCCTCTATCCCTCCCTCTCTCTCTCTCTCTCTCTCTCTCTCTCTCTCTCTCTCTCTCTCGGTACCATGGATTGAACTCAAGGCCTCATCCTCATATGAGCTAAGTGATCACTCTACCCTTTTCTTTGTATTTCGTTTTTGAGACAGGGTCTCCCTAACTTTGCCCTGGCTGGCCTTGAGCTTGCTCTCCTCTGCCTCTGCCTCCAGAGTAGCTGGTATTACAGTCACGAAACACCACGCCCAGCGTCACACGTCTCCGTTTCTTATATCACAGTCATGATGTCCTCTGAAAGCCAATAATCAGTTTGCTGTTGCTGGAGGTTTTGTGTGTTCTGCTTGTGTCATTGAAATGTTTGAACACATCCCAAAGTCAAGGGCATCGTGAGGTCATTTCTTGAATACCCATTGACTGACCTCAATAGAGATAACATTTTTTTTAAAGACAGGGTCTCTGCTGGGCATTGATGCTCACGCCTGTAATCCTAGCCACTCGGGAATCAGAGATCAGGAGGATCAAGGTTCAAGTCCAGCCTAAGCAAAATACTTTTTGAGACCCTATATCAAAAATACCCATCACAAAACAGGGCTGGTGGAGTGGCTCAAGTGGTAGAGCATCTACCTAGCAAGCATGAGGTCCTGAGTTCAAACCCCAGTACCTCAAAACAACAACAACAAAAAAGACAGGGTGTCACTATGTTGCCTGGATTGGTCCCAAACTCCTAGGCGCAGGTGCTTCCTCCTGCCTCAGCCTCCCCACAGGCACCTGCCACTGCGCCCAGTGAGGTGACTTTCTGCTGTTTCTATTCCAAGTGTGGCTTCTGCTCCATCCCTGGCCTCAACATATTTTCTTTCTGGAGGTTTTTCAAGCAAACAAGTTGGAGACTTCAAAAACTACGTAAATGACTGTGTTGTTTATCTGTTGATGAGGCAATGTACTCATAAAGAAAATAACATGAAAGTCAAAAATCTCCCTTCTTACTCAAAGTACATAAATATACTCACATATGCTTTTATAAATCCTACTTTTACAATGCAGAAGTAAGACTGTACTATACATTTTTTGTTGCTCGTTAGTTTTGAGACAGGGTCTTAGAGCCACGTACCCCAGGCTGGCCTCAAAGTTGCCATCCTGCTGCTTCAGCCTCCCAAGTGCTGGGATTACAGGCACGACTGACACGCCTGGCCAGCTCTATTTTTTTTTTTTCCACTTCACATATCCCAAATGTCTTCCCGTGCCAGTGAGGATTCTAACCCGTGGTTTTCCAGGGCAGTGCAGAGTCTCATCGTTTGGGTGTACCACGACCAATCAGATGAATCCCCCGTGTTGTTTTCATGTGAGAGAGTTTCAAAACACAGCCCTGCCTGGCCTGGACTTTGCACCACCCTGAAACCTGACCCGCCCCCTCTGCTCCTGCTGGCTTCAGAGAAGTTCTAGACCAGTGTGGAGAAGATGGAGGCATTGGACAGCATCCCAGTGCTATCCGAGCAAGACTTCCTCCCGCCCTCACTGCTTGATTTGAAGCCTAGAGGCAGGAGCCGCCCAACGCAAGCTGGGGCACACGCTCCGAGGCAGGTAACGAATTCTCCCAGCAACTTGGGAGGTGAAGATCGGGAGGCTCTCAGTCCAAAGGCCAGCCCTGGCAAAGAGTTAGCTAGACCCTATCTGAACAAAAAAAGCCAGGCATGGTGGCCTGCACCTGTCATCCTCGCTACGCAGGAGGCATAAGTAGGAGGAGGCTGAGATAGTGAGCACTGGGGTTTGAGGCCAGTTCAGGCAAATAGTTTGCAAGACCCCATCTCTAAAATAACCGAAGCAAAATGGACTGAAAGTGTGGTTCAAGTGGTAGAACACCTACTTTGCAAGTGGGAAGCCCTAAGTTCAAACTCCAGTCCCACCAAAAAATAATAAATAAATAAATAATGAATGTTGTTTTTTCAGCAAGCCTCTCAGAATTCAGCCAGCCTGTCACTTCTCCAAAGAAGTGGCCTCAAAAGGCAATACTGTTTTTGCAACAAAACTGTGATTGCTTGGAAATGCATCTGTGAGGACTGGCTCAAGTGGTACAGCGCCTGCCTAGCAAGCAAGCAAGAGGCCCAGAGTTCAAACCCCAGTACCACCAAAAAAGAGGAAGGAAGAAGAGGAGAGGAGAGGGCAGGGGAGGGGAGCGGAGGGGAAATGCATCTGTGAGTCCATTTTGCTTTGCCCCATCTCTAGAGAGACTCTAGAATCTGTTGAAATCAGTTTGGTCGCAGTGTAGGCCCAAAGTCTTCAATCTTCTAGGCAGATGGATATGTGGAAATGACCTGCCTCTCCCGCACCGCCCCCCCACATATAAATTGCCAACAACAGAATTGACTCTATCAAGTTTGAGCAGAAACAGATTTATTAAATCATCACAGGATCTCAGAAACTCTGGCAGGGTCAGAGCACAGGCTGGAATGTCATTTTTATATCTCCGTGTAAGCTGCCTGTTTTGCTCATTTTTCTATCAGGGTTTGGACACCGTTTCTCTTGATTTGTCGAAGGTCTCTGCATATTCTAGATAGGAGCCCTTTACCTGTGATTTATATTGACAGTGCTTTCTCACTCGTCAGGTGCCCTTTGGCTCTGTGGGTGGTGTTTGTACCGTGAAAGAGACTCTTGTTTTATGATGTTAGATTTATTGATCTAAATCATGGCCCCTGGATTTTGAGCCATGGTTAGATAAGCTTTGCAACACCCAGGCTGTAAAGGAATGGGCACAGATTTTCTTCTATTACTTTTGGGGCTGCTTTTCTACATTTACACCTCTGGTCCATTTGGAGTTTGCATTCATGATGCATTTGCTTTTGAAATCTATCTTAATGAAATGTACTAATTAAGCCAGGGGTTTCCAATTAAACCGCCTCAGAGCCAGGCAGAGTGAGCCTGGGAAGCCGGACAGCTCAGCACAGCAGTTATACCAAGAGACTTGTAGCCAGAGATGAAAAATCAGAGATTTGAACTCAGGGCTTCATGCTTGCAAAGTAGGCACTCTACTGCTTGAGCCACACCTCTAGTCCATTTTGCTCTGGTTATTTTGGAGATGGGGTTTCATGAACTATTTGCCTGGGCTGGTCTTAAACCTCAATCCTCCTGATTTCAGCCTCCCAAGTAGCTAGGATTGTAGGAGTGAGCCACAGCACCCAGCCCAAAACTCTTTTTGAAGTTGCTGTGCACAACAATCACTAACTAGATGCTTAAAATCCCAGAAGTCCGTTCCCTGAAGTCTGGAGGCCAAAAGTCTGAAATCCAGGTGCAACCCGGCTGACTCCTCTCAAGGCTTGAGGGAGGCTCTGCCCCAGGTCCCCTCCAGCTCCTGGTCCCTTGGCTTGTGGATGAATCACCATTCCAGTGTCCATCTCTGTCTGCCCAAATTCCCCTCACCCTCAGCTTGCAGCCCACCCATCCCCACGTCTTTCTCTGTGAAATGGAAGCAATACCTTTCCACATCCAACAAGTGCTCGAGAAATGGTGACTCCCACATTCTCGAAGGTCTTTCGAGGGTTCTGACAGGCAGGATTCACACAGGCCCAGGAGTGTAAGCCACACGAGCGCGCTCATCTATCAGCACGACTGCTCGTATGGACACACATCCCCACCCAGAGAACAGGCTGAGAACTGCCACGAGGAGGCGGCCGTAGTGCTTCCTGTAGGCTGAGTCCTTCAGTGAGGGGCGACGGTGCCATTTATCATCATCGCTTTGCAGATGAAAAGACTGGGCACAACTGGGCAAGGTGGCATAAGCCTGTGATCCCAGCTATGCAGGAGGTGGAGATAGGACCTCGGGCTAAAGCTCAAAGCAAACAGGGCTGGGGGTGTGACTCAAGTGGTAGAATGTCAAGGGCAAGGCCCTGAGTTCAAACTCCAGTACCACCAAAAACAGAAACAAAAACCTGGGTACAGACAGGCTAAGTCACTTGCAAAGGACAGACAGAACTGGGGCTTGAGGCTGGCAGTGTTCCTTATGCCTCTGGCCCAGCCCAGACTGGCTAAGGGTTTTGGCACCGGGAGCAGGAAAAGCAGCAAGGCTGGGGCACAGAGCATTTTCATGCCTCATTTAACCCTTGTGCCACACTTTGAGATCAATAGGTCATTGTCCTCACCTGCAGAGAGAACGTCAGGTCACGGGGAAGGCACGTGGGGACTGGCGGAGGTTCCAAAATACCACTGCACTGTCCCCCAAGAATGACTGAAGGTGGCGACTGGGCAGGTGGCAGGTGTGCCAGCGAGGAGAGCCATGGTGTCATGAGGCTCCCCAAATCCTGCAGATGAGTCTGCCGTTCGGGACCAAACACTCCTTGACCCTGCTGGCCACTGGTGCTCGACTCCATCTCACTGCTCACGGCAACCTTGCGAGTGGGACACCTTCCTGTGACGAATTCTAACCCCCCCCCCCGCCGCCGTGTCCTCTCCACTGTGTGACCCCAGTTACATCAGGAGGTGCTGACCAAGGAGGTCTTTGCCCGTGTTTGGGCTCCAGCATCTCTGGAGCGCACCTGTGCACGAGGCTGTGTGGAGTACAGGGCTGGTTTGGCTCAGAGATGGTTCTGGAGCTATGATTTTTCTTACTGCTCGGTCCATAGGTCATCCGTGTGACCCTTGTCACACCTCTGAGACTTGGTGCTCCAACTCGTTTTCCTTCACACAGGGCTGGCTTGCCATTGCAGACACGTCTGTGAGTCGCAGAGCCATTGCTGGCTGTCGGGTGGATGGGGGTGGTGCTGGGGCTCCTCCCTGTGTCCTGGCAAAGCTCAGCCCTGCCGGCCCACAAACAGCCGGGGCTGAATTAAAGTCTGAGTGCCTTGGGAACCGGGGTCAGTCTGAGACTCTTGTTCTCTTTGGACGGAGGCTAGTGGTTCTGACTTCCTACATAAATCTGCACACTTCTCCCAAACAAAGTTCATTTCTTCTGGTGACATCATGGTGCTCAGCTAGGTTCTGCACCTGGTGGCATGTCTCCCTGCCAGTTGTGACTTGCCGTGTGCACCCGGGGTTTTACCCAAAGGCTTGTAAAGTGGGATTTTCCCAAAATCTTATTAATACTTCCATACCTCATGGCAATAATCCCAGGACGGGAAAGACTGCAGCCAAAGGGAAGTTAGCAGTCACTGGATTAACTCCTTAAATAGTAAACGAAGAAAGCAAATTCAAAAAGGTGAGTTGGGCCACCCAACTGGTCTACTTGTTAACCTGTATTGGGAGCTGGCTGTTGGCACAAAAAAATTATTGATTTCATTTGCAACATGTTCAGATTTTTTTTTTAAGACAGTCTCACTATGTAGCCCCAAGCTGGCTTTCAACTTATAATCTCCTGCCTCAGCCTCCCAGGTACCGGGACTGCAGGTGCACACCACCACGCCTGACTCATCTTCAATTTTTGATCAATTATACGTTTGGCAAATCTTTTCGGTGCCATGGTTGTAATCACATATTGAATAGCTTGCTGTACTCACTGTCCCTCCCTCCTCTGTCACTAGGGATGCCACTATCCATGTAACCGGCTCAGAGAAGCCCTCACAGGGCAGGGCTGGTGTGCCCACTCACAGTGACCAGCACCTGAGAGACAGAATACATCTGTTGCCAGATGTAGTGGCTCAAGCCTATAATCAGGAGGCAGAGATGGGGAGGACGGAGGTTCAAGGGCCAGCCCAGGAAAAAAAAGTTCAAGAGACCCCATCTCTCTGGGGATGCCCATGCCTGTCATCCCAGCTACATGGGAAGCTTAAAATGGGGAACTGTGGTTCAGTCCAGTCCAGGCATAAAGTGAGATCCTCTTTCCAAAATAACCAAAGCAAAAAGGGCTATGGGAGTGGCTCAAGTGGTAGAGCACCTGCCTAGCAAGCGGGAAGCCCTGAGTTCAAATCCCAGTACTGCAAAAACAAGACAAAGAATATATCTGTTCATGAGTGATTGATGAGACTCGGTTGATACGCAGGGTGCTACTCTCTCATCGGTTCTGATGGTCCACTCGGCATCCACACTGGACTGTCCTGTTTATTGTGTCTGGATTTTAGTGAAAAATGTGCTTGACTGCTGAGGTCCTCTATCTGCAGAGGTCTTCAGCGGACATAACCCTCCCAGGCTGTCACAGGATTCAGGTAGGTGCTCTTACTGCTTGAGCCACTCCACCAGCCCAGTCCAGACTCTAAGAAGCTGTGGAAGGGATGCCTGAGTGGCAGGGCTGGGGATTGAATCTAGGATCTCATGCACACTGGCACGGAGCTTCACCCCACCCAAGCCGGCACTATTAATCCACCCCTCCCATCCCCGCAGAGGCCTGACGGTGCTCACGTGCAATAATTAACACCTGAGTGGCCTTAGGTCGCTCGCAGGCTCCACTCCTGGGCTTCATTCCCATTGCCCATCTCCTAGGCCACTAAACCTTGCTGTCCGCTGAAATAAAGCAAAGGAGTGTAGAACAGAGCAGAAGGCTGAGCCGGTCTGAGAGCGGCTTCCTCTCCCAGGAGCCAGGTCTGAAGAAACTACTGCTGTTCCCACAGTGCAGATTTCCCTGGCCCGGCCCTGGAGATGAGTGAACGGGTGAACCGAGGTACGGACGTGGTTAGGCTGATGACAGCACAGCTGCCATTCCTGCGGTGGGTGGCTGTACGGGGTGCCCAGTCCAGGACTACTTGGGCCAGGACCGAGCTTCTCAATGTCTGCATGGACACCACGCACCACAAGGAAAAGGCAGGCCTGGAGGACAATTGTACGAGCAGTGCAGCCCGTGGAAGAAGAACTCCTGGTGCTCCACCAACAGCAGCCAGGAAGCCCATAAAGACATCTCCTGCCTATACAGTTTCAACTGGGACCACTGTGGAAAGATGGAGCCTGCCTGCAAATGGCACTTCATCCAGGACACCTGCCCCTGCAAGTGCTCCCCCAACTTGGGGCCCTGGATTCAGCAGGTGAATCGGAGCTGGCGCAAAGAGCGGACCCTTGACGTGCTCTTGAGCGCATCGCGCCCCTCCCACACTGCTGGGAGGATGGCCGCACCTCCTCCACCTGCAAGAGCACCTGGCACAGGGGCTGGAACTGGCGTTCAGGTATAACCAGTGTCCCGTGGGAGCTGCCTGCCATCCCTGCTGTGTGTGAGGAAACGTGGAGTCACTCCTACAAGGCCAGCAACTACAGCCGTGGGAGCAGCCACTGAATCCAGATGTGGTTTGACCCAGCCTCAGGGCATCCCTACGAGGAGGTGGTGAGGTTCTATGCTGAAGCCATGAGTGGAGCCCGGCTCCATGGTGCCTGGTTTCTCCCGCCCAGCCTGTCCCAGCTGCTGTGGCTGCTCACTCACCTGAGTTCCTTCCTCTCTGGTACCTGCACATCCCTGCCCTGCTTAGCCTCACACCTCCCAGCCATTCAGTTCCTGCTCCATGGTGGGGCCTCTGGCAGTTGGTTTAAATAAACTAAACACACTACAAAAAAAAAATGTCCTTGACTGTAGTTGACAGCAGCATAAGCACAGAGAGGTTTGTTTTCTCCCATGACAAGAAATTCAGAGACAGTTGGTCGCTGCTGCACCAGCAGTGATGCCCAGGTACATCAGGGGCACTGCTGGTGAGACGCTTGGCCTTGACTCATGGTAGCAGTATGGCTGCCACACCCCAAGTGTCACACTGTGCATTCAATGCAGGGAAAGGGAGGAAGGGGATAGTACCAGCAGTTTCTCCTTATAGTGAGTGCTTTTTCTTTTTTTCCCGAGAAATCCACAAATAGACTTCTACTCAAATCTCGTTTGCCTAGAGCATCAGTAATATCGCATACCATAAGACGTGCAGGTAGAGGATGTAAGGAGGGGTACTGAAAGCTGCTGAAAAGCGGGGGGGTGGGAGGTAAAGGGGTGAGGGAGAGCAATGGAAGGGGTTGAATGGCAAAAAGTAAAGCACACCACCATGGGGTCACTTGAGACACCCCTTTGAACATCAACTTAAATATTAATAAGGAAAACCAGGCCTGTGAAATAGGCACAGTGTGTGTGTGTGTCGGGGGTGGTGGTGCAGGAAAGGGGGAAGAAGGTGGATGGACTTCGTATACCTCTATGAAACAGAACTAAGAAACCTCTCGCAATTGCTTTAAGTGGGGCGGGGAGGGGGCTGACGGGGAGACGATGGGGCAAGGTAACCAATGTACAATATAAGTCTAATCAGAATTGTCACTACGATTTCCCCCTCCCCCATATAATGAATATATCCTAATAAAAACTTTTTTTAAAAGTCTCATTTGCCAGCCTTGTATCAATAGCCACCAATAGCTACAAGGCCCTGCAGCTGTGTGACCGGGCTTGCTGTCTGTGCCTCTGCCGTCACCCTGACACAGACCTGCCCCTCTCCCCCACTGGTCCCAAGAGGAGTATGGGAGCCACGTGGAGTATAAGCCATCTCACTGAGCTCGGCTGGACAGGACATCGGACAGCCCTGGAAGGACGAGTCCAGAGCCACAGCCTCGCCTAGCTTCAGCAACCTGCAGACACGTGAGAGTCAGCGGTTTTGTTTTGCAGTGATTTCTAACCCTGTGTTCTGTGGCCTGGCTGGCTGCTGGAGCAGACAGAACCCAGTGCTTTCCATGGGTCATAGCAGAGCAGGCACACAAAGAGACCCCAGGCCTTTGTGGTGCCTCCTTTAAGGAGTTTACACCTCCATCGGGGGCAGAGCTGATGCACACTGATGGAGTGCAGTCACCCCACACCACAGCAAGACCTTCCATCCACCGCTGTCACGCATCAGGACCGAAGGACACTTTGGGCCGTGTGTACCAGGTAGTCCAGCCCAAAGGCTCTGACATTGCTGAGGTGTCCTTGGCTCGATCACACCCCTTGTTCATCACAAGTAACCACAAACCACAGGAACAGCGTCATCATGAGTGTCCCGGGCCAGTCAGGATGTGGCTTTTGGGGCTGGAGCCAGTGTCTCCCAAAGCCATGGCTGTGAGGGTGTGGGTGCCAGTGCAAAGCCACGGTTCTGTCTGAAAGTGAGGACACTGTGGCTCGGAGAGCTTACGTAACATTCACGAGCTCACAGCTGGCGAGCGGTAGTGCAGGCTTCCAGCCCAGATCTGTCCAACCCCAAATCTCTCCTTCCTCTGGACCTCCCTGCTGCATCGCCCAAGTTGGACAGGACTGGTGTCCTTTGGCTGTCACAGTCAAGGTGGCCACTGTGCTCCACGGTGGTGGCCTGTGATCACACAGTGCTCCGAACCAAACCTTGCAGAATCATGCCTTGCTGAGGACAGAGACGCTCAGGCCTGGAGATCACGCAGCCCATTCCAGCCTTACCATCTGGGAGCTGAGCCTGCACTTTAGGAAGGTTCTGGTTCCTCGGCCCATCCATGCAACGTTTTTCTGAATGTGCAGGGCAGTCTGGGCCACCCGCTAGCGTCCCGGGCAAGTGTGACAGTGGACAGGGGAGCAGGGGAGCAGGGGAGCAGGGGAGCAGTCTGTCCCTGGCTTCCTGCCATCTAACCCAGGGCTGGCTAGGACCAGGACACCCAAAGTTTAGGTGTCAATGATGGCTGCATCCTCACCACTCACCGCCACTCGTGCGGTCATTGTCACAAGCGGGCCCCCTCGGTCTGAGAAGGATGAGCTGGGACTCAGTAACCTGTCTAGTTTATTAACGGCTGGCGACCATGAGCAAGAGACAGCAAGACAGGCCCAGGGCTTTGCAAAGCTGGTTTCTGTCTCCTGTCTGTGTGGCTGTGGGAGCCTTGCCTACAGCAGCCTCAAGGACTGTGAAGGTTGAGTGGGTGACACTGTTGGCTCTCAGGAGCAGTGGACAGTCGTGTCATTTGCCATTACCTGCGGGCTTGGGTGGGTAAGACTAGGGTGAAGACAAGGCTCCTGGTGAATTGTTGGGTTTCACAAGCTGCTGTGCCAGTGTCTTGTGGCCTGAGCTGGACTGAATGTGGTGATGTGGACCTCCTGGCTCTGTCTCAGTCTTCTCTGAGCTCTTGTTTCCTACCAGGACGGGCTTCCATCCCGCTTTGTCCCCGAACCAGGGATGAAAATGAGTTTTTAGTTTTCTTTTTCTTTTTCTTTTCTTTTTTTTTTTTTTTTGAGATAGGGTCTTGCTATGTAGCCAGGAACTCCTGAGCCTCCTAACTTGGCCTCCCGGGAGCTAAGGTTACAGGCGTGTGTCATGGTGGCAAGTTCAGATTATTTGTCAAGAGTAAGACAGGGATCTGACCATAGGAATGCTGGCTCAGGTTGACAGTCATGTCAGGAATGCCACCCTGGGCCTGAGGGCAGAAAGGACTCAACACAGGCTCTGGCCAAGCAGGTGTGGGAGGATGGGAAATGTCACCACACGGGGCCATGCTGCAACGGTTGCTGCTCAGTGGTCACCTGTGGGAAGAGCAGGAGTTTCGCCACCAAGTCCTGGTAGCCAGTTCTGTAGCTGTTAGAATATGGTGACCTTTAGCTGGCCACACCAGCTTAGTAAGGTAGATTTAACAATTATAGTCTGTTCCCTATCTAGGCCTGAGTCAGTTAGACACACGCTTTAAAAAGATTCCCAGAAAGGAAGTGGATGGAGAAGTCACCAGTTAGCATGCACAGGTGAAGACAGGGGACATGGCAGAGCCATCTGCCCTTGTCCTGGCTCAGAGTCTTCATCAGACACCTCCTGAGGTGACAATGAAGACGCTCACGGACTCAGATCCCAAAGATGGTCGTAAAACCAGCCCCAGCCGTCTGCAGGTCTGTCTGTAATACACACTTGAGAATCCACCGATGTAACCCTAACCCAAATGCATTATCTCACCTTCAGATATTAGTCAGTACTAGTAGAAATCAGCACAATTAGTGAGACACTCAACCCAGGCACAAGTGGCTCATGCCTATAATCCCAGCTACTCAGGAGGCAGAGATCAGGAGGATTGTGGTTCAAAGCCAGCCCAGACAAATAGTTTGAGAGACCCTATATCTAAAAAGCCCATCACAAAAAAGAGCCAGTGGAGTGGCTCAAGGTGTAGGCCCTGAGTTCAAACCCCAGTACTGCTAAAAAAATTAATAAATAAAATAAAACAAAAAGCTCAGATCTAGGCTGGGAATGGTGTTTCATACCTATAATCCCAGCTACTCAAGAGGCAGAGGTAGGAGAATCTTGGTCCAAGGTCATCCCAGGCAAAGTTAGCTCGAGACCCTTTCTGAAAAAAACAAGCTAAAAGCCAAAGCATGGTTCAAGTGGAAGAGCACTTGTGGGCTGAGTTCAATCCTCAGTACATAAAAACAAAAAATCTAGCCCAAAAAGTGATCACAGACGCTCCTAGACATACAATAGCGTGAAACCAGCAAAACCATCCTCAGTGGGAAATTCATAAAGGTGAAAATGCTCTTAACATTCACAGTCAGCTACACGTGAATTCTCTGCGTGGTGGTCCCCTCGTGGTCTTCAGGCTGACCTGGGACGGCCACGGACCAGCATCTCCAGAGAGCATCCTAGGATGGCACGGCACTAGCCCAGGAAAAGATCAAAGTCAAAACTCAAAGCAGCGTTACAGAATATGTGTCTCTGTGCACCACCGTGGGGTTAAAAATTGAAAGTTGGGGACCCTCTGTGTGCAGTGCATGTCTTAGGAAAGGGAGGGCCATGTACGAAGGCTCCTCGTGGGCAGGAAGGGGCTGTGTAGGGCGAAGGTGTTGGGGGAGTTTTATTATTTTTTACCGATGTGTTAGAACCGGAGAGGGGACTTCCTCTTTTTCGTGGGTTCCCCCACACACACTTGGCAGAGATGAGGCATTCCTGGGAAGTCAGAGGTGGCTGGAGGTGACCTCAGGTTGGGGCATGGTGGCTCTTCCTGGCCACTCCATGAGTTCTGCTCCTGAGCAGAGCACAGGGAAGGCAGAACTCTGGTCATTGTCCCATCGGGGTGGATTTGGGGAAAGTAAAGCCAGTCTACCTGCCATCCACCTAGATAGCAGGGAGGGAGGGAGGTGGACGTGTCTGAGCAGTTGATGGTGATGCCTGCTTATGTGCTCCAAGAATATGATCTCTGAATTTATCCCCAAGTTCCCAGCTAAAGGCCTGTGAGCATTTCTTTTTAAAGCAGAGTCTGTGACTTTCACCAGATTCCAAAGGACTCTGAGACCCAGGAGAGTTTGCCAAGTCAAAGTGTAATCCTGAGCTCAGGCTGGGTTCAAGCCTGGAGACTCAGCTCCTCATGTCTGTCAGCCTCAGCTGTCCTCACCTGGGCGATGTGACCGTCCTGCCAACCCGGGTTGCTGTGGATGCTCACAGCCAGGCCTTGTCAGCAGCCAGCATCCCAGGAGCCTCCGACTCCTCCCAGGGCTGTGCCACGCTCCCTGAGTTCCTGGCCACCCGTTTCCCAGCAGCTCTGGTTTATTTGGAATGCGTCTTGGGGTCTCCTAGAGAGAGGCTCAGCTGAGTTCCAGGAACTGAGCGCTCCCTGCCCCTGGAGGGCTTCCAGCTGTCCCTTGGCTGCCTGGTGTAGAAGAAACGACGGGGAACGTTCGTGTCTGAGGATGCTAAGGAGTTCTCAGCACAATGAAATTCAGTCTCCATCCAAGGTGCCACACACCCAGCACGCACGAGGACGTGCGGCGCCTCAGAGAGGGCATGAGCTCGGGCTGCGTGGTGCTCCTCCTGGGCTCAGCCTGTGTGGCCGATGTGTCACAAAGCACACCTGAAGTCCTCCACGCCAGCTCTGGGCCCCTAGACAGGGCTGTGAGGTACCCTCAGTGGGGCCAACACGGCAGCCTTTCCCTTGGGTGCCTTTCTGCACCTTAGAGTCAAATTCTTCCATGGTCTTAAGGAAACAGTTCCTTGGGTGCGTTAATTGTGCTTTTCTGGAGTCAGAGGGACCAGAGTTTGAATCGCAGCTCCATCACTAGTAGCCGTGCAGCCTTGGGGAAATGACTCCATCTGTCTGGGCCTCCCCTCCATTTTTTGTTTCACTTTGTTTGTTTTTTGGTGGTACTGGGATTTGAACTCAGGGCCCCCAGTACTAGGCAGGTGCTCTAGCACTTGAGCCACTCTGCTAACCCTTTTTTGCATTGGGTATTTTTGAGATAGGGTCTTGTGAGCTATTTGCCCAGGCAAACCTCAATCCTCCTGATCTCTGCCTCCTGAGTAGCTGGGATTACAGGTGTGAGCCACTGGCACTTGGAGGACTCTGGTTTTTAGTCTGCAAAAAATATCAATTACCAGCACCTCTACTCTGAGTTGGTAGGAGACTCAGACAATATAATCCTTAGAGTGAGAAGTGCAATGGTGGACAGGAGAGGCTGCTTTTTTAGTGTCTGACTCTAAATCAGACACAGAACGATACAAGGACGAGAACCAAGGGCAGTCACGGGACCTGGGGCGGGCACTGCAGCCTTGCACCGGGTCCTTCCTGTGTTCTGCAGGTGAGTGTGCGTCTCACAGGAGCTCATCATTGTTCAATGAATGCACTCCACACGTGTGTACACGTTACATATCATTAGCACTCAGCATGGCTTTGGTTTTTTTTTTTTACTTTTCTTTTTTGGTGCTGGGGATTGAACTCAGAGTCTTGTGCATGCTAGGCAAGCCCTCTAACTCTGAGCTGTCATGATGTTTCTCTTTCTTTCTTTCTTTCTTTTTATTTCTTTTTTTTGTGGCACTGGGGCTTGAACTCAGGGCCTATACCTTGAGTCACTCCATCAACCCCTTTTTGTAATGGGCTTTTTTCAAGATAGGGGCTCACGGAACTTATTTGCTCAGGCTGGCTTCGAACTGCAATCCTCCTGATCTCTGCTTCCTGAGTAGCTAGGATTACAGGCGTGAGCTCTGGCTCTTTTCTTTCTTTTTAGACGGGGTCCTCTGTATGTAGTCCATACTGCCATGTAATTCTCCATCCTCCTGCCTCAGCCTCCTGAGTGCTGGGATTTCAGGTGTACACCACCATGTCAGGATCTGTTTTAGAATCAATGTCAAAAGAAATGGACCAACTATTTCATCTCTGTTTTTCTCCCCAAGATGGGGACTAAAGAATCTGTGATCCAAATGACATCTCAGACACTACACGACACTCCGAGACCCCCCCTCCCCAAGAGATCACACAGGGTTCCTGAGGGTCATTGTCACCCTCAAATCAATCTTCCTCTAGTTCTGGACATTTTGACTCCATTATTTCACTCATGTCTACTATGCCACCCAAGAAAACGTCTGGTGATCAACCCAGCAGAAGGGAGTCTGGGTGGAGAGACCGAGAGAACGCAGCCAGCCTCACGCCTTCCAGGTTCTTGCCAGGACTCCTTGCTGTCTGAGCCTGATGGGACACTGAGGGCGAGGAAGGGGGATCGGTTCTCAACTGGGCAGGAAGAGAGTGTCCCAGTGTGGGAAGGAGCAATGTCCCTGCTGTGGACAGAACTCACAGTCGGTCTTTTCCTCGGCAGGTGGAGCAGAAGGTCGGCAGCAGGCACTCCTCTCAGCTCAGTGCCAGGCACAGATTGCTGGCACATCGTGTGTGCACAAGAGGCACAGAGGGATGTTCCTTCTCTGGGTTTCCGCCTCAGGCCTGCATTTTGGGCCGATGCTATTTTTAGGAGGCTGGCACCATGGATCAGTACACATGAAGGAGCAGGGGGACCCAACTTGATACACAGGGAGCTGGTTGGACTGCAGCAGGGTGGGGGCACAGGGAAGGGTCTGTCTCCCACTGAACAATGGAGCTGCGGCTGGCGGGCGGGCTGGCTGTCACACCCACTGTGACATTAATCACATCCTGCCTGGCATCGTCCCCAGCAGCTCTGACACATGTGGCTGCACCCCACTCTGGAGAGCCCTCCCCTCAGACTGTGCAGGGAGCTTCTGGGCCCCACCTCTCAAGTGGGATCAGCGTCCTCCCTCCCCACCAAATGGATTCCTCTTGCCTGGCGCTGGCAAGGGAAGTGCAAGTCACCACTCCAGGAGGTAGAGCACTGTCCATGTAAGCCCCTCCAGGACACTGGCTATGACGTGGGTGGCAGGGTGGGGTGACTGGCATGGAGCAGGGCTGGGTCACTTCTAGCTGGGGCTCTGGAGTAGCAACAGAAATGGCCCCTGGCTAACCGTGCTGGCTGGGAACAGGTTTACTGCATCCATCTTGGATCTCAGGGAGCTTACAGGATAGAGAAGCAACAGCCAGACCACGGAAAGGCTGGAGGGGACAGTGCTGGGGGATGGGACCAGAGACTGACACCGGGGTGTGGGGCAGGGGGAGATTCTGCCTAGACTGTTGTGCTCTACTTTATGAAAACTCAGCCCTCTGGTAGGTGCTGTGCTCTGGCCAGGCCAAGGCTACCAGAGTCCTTGCTGCAAGGGGACCGGGTCCTCACATCAAGAGCAATTACTTTGGGCTCCGTTCCTCCCTAGCCTGACCCCTCGGGCCACACATTGCTCATAGCACACAGGGCTGCACCCCAGGTAGAGGGAGGGGTTCAGGCAGGACTGGAGAGGGTGACTCATTCTCACGTCTACCCAGCCAAGAGGCTGGCAGGCAGAGGCCGTCTGCAGCGTCTCATCAGCAGCCAAAACCCCAGCCTAGGCTGGCCAGGCCTCCACTTGCCAGAGGCCAAGTCCTTCCCCTCCTTGCTCTGGCCACACCAGCTTCACCAGTCCCTCCTCACTGCACCATCACCCATCCATTTCTCTTCCCCTGGCCTCCTGCCCCATGTTCCTCCAGGCTCCTCAGGCGTGGCCTCAAAGAATTTAGGCTTTGCCATTAGCGACTGAGAAGTTGGCTGCACGACTTCTTGTCTGTGGATTTTGAGCAAGTTGTCTCTCTTCGCGCTGCCTCAGTTTCCTCGTTTGCAATGTGGGGATGAGACAGGACTTGGTGCCTGGTAGGAAATGAATGCCAGCCATGCTGCTGCACTGCTCCTTCCAGGTGCCACCGTCCCTCAGGGACTTGGTCCTGAGGAATGTCCCAGATGAGCATCAATGCCTGTTGTGCTGCCCTCCCTGGGCTTTGGGCCAGTTTACAGAACTGCCTGGATGCTATGGAATGGGTGCCATGATGCCCTCATGGCAGGAAGGGAAGATTTGGGCAACTTCAAACCAAACCAAACCACAGCCTGACTGTCCAAAACCTTGCCTTCTGAAAGTGACAGTTCACACAGCGGGTGGCAGCCTGGGTGTTCCATAGCCCAGGGCACAGGAAAAACCACCCTTTCAGAGCACCAGTAAGTGGTAACAGTCAGAGCCACAGAGCCCGAGGGCCAGCTCAGTGAGCACCTTGACGAAACTGTGGTCTGTGTATTGTTCAGGACTCTTTTGGTCCCAATGACAGAAACTCGACTGTAATTACTGTAGCACGTGCGTAACTAGCGCATATAAATACACGCACACACTCACGCACACACACCTGTATTATATATTTTGTGATGCTAAGGCTAGAACTCAAGGCTTTGTCCCATCCATGCCAAGCACAAACTCTACCACTGAGCTATAACCCAAGCCCCCAAATAATTTTTATTGGAAAACTAGATGGTAAAAAGAAATGTACAAGTGAGTGTAGCTTCACTGGATCCAGGGGCTCAGGTGGTGCCGGTCTTTGTCTTTGTTCAGCTTTCCTGTTGTATTGTGTCACCTGTAGACACGCTTACCCGCTGAGAAAGGAAGATGGTAACTCAAGCCTTCTGTGGGAGGTTGTGCGTTCCAAATGTGACTGCACCAACATGTGCATAACCTGTGCCCCTCTAAAATGTAACACCGCCAAGATGTTGTCTTTGAATGGCCCTTGTAACCTCCTCGACCAGTGGACATTGTGGTAGAAGTGATGTTTGTTTACTTCCGAGACTGGGTCTTAAAAGGCAACACAGCTTCTTCCTGGTTCACTGCCTCTGGAGACACCAGTCCTCGGAAAGCAGTAACCACGCTGTGAGGAAGGCCACGCTGGTTTCCAGAGACACCGCAGGAGAGGCTCATGTGGCAGCCAGTGTCAACAGTGTGCAAGACACCAAACCCTAAAGGAGAATGACAGAGAGGGGGTGAGCTAAAGTATGATGTATTTATATACTGTAAGAACTTTTGTAAATGTCACAATGTACCCCCAGCATAACAATAAGAAAAAAAAAAAGAAAGAAAGCCAAAAAAAGACATCAAGCCTTCAATCAGTCCCAGTGTCTATGCTTGAGTCGTCCAGCTGTGGCCCAGTCAGGGTAGGGCAGGCTCTGTAGGCGAAGTCCGGTGGTTTCATGTCACTGAGCTTTGTGACATGAGATACAGCCATAGCCACTGCAGTAGCTTTCACAGTCACTGTCCCAACATCTACACGTCGGTTCATAGTGAAATCCCGATCTGCCCTGGCTGAGGGTCTCCTCCCTAGAAGCCTCTCTAGCCGGAGGGATGGAGAACTCTAGCTGGCTGCAGAGGCTGGGTCCCGAGCCGTGCTCTGGTCTGGTGAAGGATGGGGCTGTTACCAGAAGCCACAAGGCTCCTGGAGGTCTCCAAAAGGGAGGAAGACTCTACCTGGCCCTTGGGTACCAAGTTCCTGATGCTGTTGAGAAAAAAAGAATTCTGGGACACATTGTGGTAGAAACCAAGAAAGTTTGTTAGTAAAGCAAGGCAAAGGAAAGATAGAAACATGGTACATAGCCCAGACATGGATGCAGGCACATCTGATAACAGGCGCAATGAGGGTTCTAACGTCAGCGGTTTGTGGTGGAAAGGTGGGTTGGGGTGTGGCTTAAATTAACTTTAGGATAAGTTTCTCCTCTTGTTCTGGACACCTGGTAAATCCAACCATTCTTCCTGTCACTCTGTTTTGATCTTATCAATTGGGCCCAGAGAGATTACCCTGGTCAGTTTCCTAAATTCAGGTCATTGTGACAAAGCTGTCAGAATGTCACTTTAAGCAAAGGGTGGGTTCTGCCAGATGCTCCTTTCAGGTGTCTGTCCTTGGGATAAGCATTTTCCTGTGCAAACACTTGTGATCAAAAGAGTCATTTCACCAGCCCCCCCCCCCCCAGGATAAGTCTCTAAGCTATTCTGGCTCAGTGTCCAGAGTGTAGTGATCACCTGGGCATTTGGGCAGGGGACAGGGGGCAGGGTCAGGGGAGAGTGGGCTCCTTCTCACTGCTGCAGCTGAGTGAGGGAGTGAAGCTTAAAGCAAGGCAAATAGTGTCGTGTGCCCGTCCCTCACGCAGTGCTCACCTCTGAGTCCCTGGCTGCTGTTCCTTGTGCCTTGGTTTCCCTGATCTACCCTGCCTCGGGGACAAGAAGAGTCCACCTTGTTAGTCCAGGTCAGGAGTTAGCCAGGGGTGGCTCCTCCAGGTACAGTCGGAGCCATCTGTCAGATGAAGGGAAAGGACCTTGTTCTTGATGGACCAGGTCCATTTCAGTGCACAAGGGCAGGTCTGGAGCTTGCCATGAACAGCTCTGCCTATCAGGGAAGCCTACTTGTGAGGACATAGGTGACAGGAGCTGGGCAGGGGAGCCCAGAAAAGTAAGCCATGTTGGTTTTTCTACCATACATGGGTAGGATTTGGGGAAGCAGGAAAATGACAGCATATCCAAGCAACTAATGCTGAGTGGTGTGCTTCTGTGCGAGGAGCCGGCGTGCACCCAGGTGGACTCTGTGCTCAGGGGTACAGACACTACTTCCAATAAACTGGTCTGTGGCTCTCAGAGGGAGGGACAGCCTGCAGGGCAGTGTCGGGGACACACAGTGTGTATTCAGTAGGATTATATTTGCTGCTGGAGCAAGATAGCAGTTTATTTCTTTGAGATTGACAAAGCTTAAGCAATTCTGGCTCACAGGCGACTCTGAACTCTTTAGTATTCATCTTGTTGGTCTGCCAAGCCCCTATGTGGTTTCCCTCATAAGATCTAAGCTAGCTGCTCCAGCTCCTGCAAGTGCATCTACTTTCCAGCCAGGCAGGGGGAAGAGGAAATGAATGGTGCCTCCTCTTCCTTATATGGATAAGGCCCAGAGGTTTTGCTTGGCTAGTTCTGCTTACATCTGATTGGCTAGAACTTCATCACATGGCCACATGTAGCTGCAAGGGAGGCTGGGAAGTGTAGTTTTTAGCTGGTGCCACTGAAGGTCAAGGGTTCTAATGCTACACAAAGAGAAAAGAGAATGGGTACCAGATGAAAACTAGCAGATGTGGCCTGAGACACTCAAAACTGGAGCTGGCACACACCAGAAGGAGAGGCAGTGTGTTAATCTGGTCTCAGCTCTCTGAACGAATGTCTGTGTGGCCTGAGCCTCAAACTCCTTTTCCATAAAGTAGTGAGGATGTTAACAGCCAATTTCACTGCTCTATGATTTGCATTTTAATATCTCTAAAATTGGAAAGTGTTCACAAGTAACAACATGCTTAACTGACAGTTTTATTAATTGTTAAATGCATAGAACAGTGTATCTTGGAACTAATATTTGATGTAATGCAATTTTCTTTTTAAGTATGGGACACTTCACGAATTTGCGTGTCATCCTTGTGCAGGGGACACTCTAATCTTTGTATCATTCCAATGCTAGTAGATAAGCTGCCGAATCAAGCACAAAATGCAATTTTCAAGGATAACTTCATAAGCAGTATATGCACATTCTGTTTATTACTAAAACGATCATCATTTTATGTATTTATTTATTTTTTGAACTCAGGGGTTCACACTTGCAAAGCAGATGCTGTACCTCTTGAGCCACACCTCCAGTCCATTTTACTCTGGTTATTTTGGAGATGGGGTCTCTCTAAACATTTGCTGGGCTGGGCTGGAACCGGGATCATGTCGATCTCAGCCTCTCAAGTAGATGGGATGACAGGCATGAGCCCGACTGATAAAATTATTAATATAATGGATGGCATATGGAATGTGACATTCACGTATGCTTACTCGAGTGGTTCTAGGACCAGGCAGAACTTCACAAATGTCTCCCATCACCACCACCACGAAGGGCGCTCGTGAAAGAAGGAAGTGGTGCATTTAGCTGGTGCTAAAAGATGCCCAGGGCTCCCTGAGTCTGAGCCTCTCCCCGCCCAGGCCAGGCAAAGGGGCAGGTGGCCCTTCCTCCCTCCAACAGGTCACTCGAGTTCTTGAAGCCAATTCTGCAATGCAGCTGGATGCAGGGTAGCAGGGAGAGGAGACAGAGGGGGGCAGTTCACGTGCCTTGGGTGAGCTTCCTGTGGTTGTCACAGCAGGTGACCATGAACTAGGAACCTCAACTATCAGAACGCATTCTTCTCCAGGGCTGGGCCCAGCAGTCTAAGTCCAGGTGTGCGGTCTGGACGCTGGAGGCTCCAGGCCGGATCCTCCCCTGCCTCCCAGATCTTGGCATCTGGATTCAGCAGTCTTGGCGTCCCTTGGCTCGTGGCTGCACCACTCCGGGCTCTGCCTCTGTCTTGCTGGACCATCCCCACTGTTTCTGCGCTTCCTCTGAAGAGACTGCCATTGTGGCCCCCCCATTCCAGCCTGAACTGATTTCATCAGCAGAGACCCTGTTTCCAGATGAGACCACATTCTGGGGTTTCGGTTGCACACGGATGTTCAAAGGACCCACCGGTCGTGTTGGGTGAGCTGCCCGTCCTTCCCAGAGTTTGCTTTCGTCGCTCCCCGAACATCTGCAAGTTCTGCGGGGTGTCTGAACAGTCTGTTCCAAGAGAGGGAGAGAGGGCGGCGCCAACCAGCACGTTCTGGGCCACCGTCAGATGCATGTGAGCTGAGAAGAGGGGGAGATAAACCCAGGGGAAATAATTAACAGAAAGGAATGTCACACGGAGGGAACTCACTCAAGCACATCAGCATTTGTCACCAGAGACTTCCTTGGAGCCATGTTTATTCTTACTTTTTTTTCCTTCCAATAAAACAACAAAAATTTCAGTTAAGCACTTAACTTGTTAAAGCATGACGATTGCCTAAGAAAGTGTCACGGTGGGGCTATTGGCTTTTCTGGTTTTTGAAGGAAACAGAAAGTTAACCAGGCAAATAGGCTGTGCCTGAGTGTCATAGACAAGGATGTCCTGCAAGGCAGGGAGGAAGCTTCTTAAAAAGCCGGGTAGATGATCACGCACACCTGTAATCTCAGCACTTGGGAGGTGGAGGCAGGAGGGTGGAGGGTTCGAAGCCAGCCTGGGCTGTGTAGTGAGACCTTGTCTCAAGAAACAACAACAGAAGGAGTACACAGGGTGGTGACTTTCATTGGCCGGTCTCAGAGGCGCATAGACACTTTGGGGACCGTTCTCAGGGGGTACCACGCATGTGGTTTCATGAGTGTCAAGGAACAGATTTCAGAGGTCCGGCTTGGTGATTTAAGCCGGAAGGATTCCTCAAGGACTCAAACACCTCCTTGGCTCCCAGAACCACCTTGGCGCTCACGCCAATATTCATGACAAGTATTTTGTCTACTCCTTAGTTTTCTCTAAAATAAAATTCACAGAAAATCACACCTACACTAAAAAAAAAACAACCCAATATAACGTCCCACTGTAGCACAAAGGAAAAGCAACAGGGAGCGCCAGTCATAGCAAAACCACACGGGTCTCAGAAGGTGAGTGTTGGGGTCTGACCCTATCAGGTGCCGTGCCACCGGGGCGATGCCTCCTGGAGGTCTGGGAGCACCAGCCATGTGATTCTCCAAAATGCTGAAGAGGCTTCGTAAACTTCCAGGC